CAACAATTACGTTACGCCAACGATATGTCTTACTACTACGACGACGGATTAGTCGAGCCGACCGCGCAGCAACAAGAACAGGACGATCAACAGCAGGACTACTCGTATTCATCCTGCAACCTCGTCGTTTACCAAGACGGTGGAGGAGGAGGTAGAGAAAAAGATAGTGGAGGAAATAGCAGTAGCAGTAGCGGACCTAGAAGTAGTAACGACAATGACTCAGATTCAGACTCGGCTAGTTTAACAGAGGATTCGGTGAGCAACACGGGAACAAGTATATCCATTTCATCCGGTAGTGCCTCAGGATCCGATACCGGCACCAAAGATAAAAAAGGATCGAAGGGTCACGGTGGCAACAGGAGAAAATGGTTCGACACGTTGTGGTCCATGGTCGACCGGATGGACGGCGAGCGCAAGTCACGCAATGTCTGCGATAATGATAAGCGATCACCGCAACACCCGGTTAAGAACATTTTCCGGCCGCCTACCAAGTACGTTTACGTGATCGGTATGTCCGGATTTCCATCCAAGGTGGCCGTATACCCGAAGCGAATGTGAACCATGCAGCCGAGGTCCGTATCGCCGCCGTTGCTTTGGGACCACTGTGGAAATCCTACTCCTTCTCACCACAGTCATCCACTTTGCACAGCCCACACTACAACATCTGCAGTACCATTTGGCGCACAACCCTCAACCGGCTACGATCGGTATCACACGAAAATCTCGTGACGTCTTCATATCCATTAACAGTATAATTTGCCGTCTTCAAGGGTACATTGAAATAAGAGTATTCACGACGCTCGAGAAGATGGTGTTTTTCTCACAAGACACAACAAGGTCCCTTACCAAACATAAATGTAAGCGGTTTTTGTTAAGTCGTATTGATTATTTGAGTATATTTGCTGTCGAGAAACCTAAATCTCTTATCTTATTGCTATTATATTATTATATGTTTATGCTGTTATTAAGGTTACATTTGAAATATTATGAAAAAACCCCATAAATTTATATCGCAAATTTGGTTTTCCTAAAACATAATATTTTAATTGTCAATTAAGTATACATAACTTTCTTCCTATTATAGATATTTCTTATTTTTAATGTAGTGGTAAAAGTAGATAAAAAACATATTTAGTACCTATGGTACTATAGGTGCTAAATATTTTATGGTTCATAACATTTCATATATATTTATAATTTGATTTAATCTTATACTTTATTTAGTGTTAGTAAATTAGTATTAAATTTATAAGAGAGATTCGTAATACTGAAATTTGAAACATTATTATAATCTATACCCCATAGCTTTCTAGTGATAACCATGTGTCCATATACCTATCCCTCAGTTAGCGTATGATTTTTAATGTATTTCGTATAAATTATATATATATTGATTTAGATAAAAATGTAATATTAAAAATAAATACTACCATGTGAATTCGATGTTTTTTTCATTTCTTATAGCTAGGCTATTATTTTTTAGGATATTATTTTTGCAGGTGGAAACACTTATATCCATTTTTAAAGTGTATTTGCGAGGGGAAACTATTGAATTATTCTCATCCTAAATAAGTGTTTTAAACATTGATTATTTCTAGGAAAAAATTTTCATTTAAATCTTTTTAATCTTTAAAAAATCAAATGTATTTCGAATGCTGAAAAGATGAAAAATAGTAGAAGTCTTATGTGTAAAACGTAAATTGTTATTTAAGCAACAACTTATTTTACGGAATTCACGAAATTTGTCTAAGTTTTACCTAATTTGAACACTTTACATTATTTTTTTACACATAAGTTTGTAAATAATGAAATAGATGAATCAAAAAAGTATTTATCTAACCGATTTTTAAAAAGGCATTTAGAATATCTACAACTAGGCACAAAACACATACTTTAGTATGCGTAGTTGAGCATTCATTCTTTAGTTAACACCAAAAATATGATTTATTTTATATGTAAGTGGTTCTTAACCTTTTGTAGATCACGGATCCCTGATGAAGGATTTTCAGAAATTTGCGGACTCCTTACCAATTTTTTTCGAATACCTTTTTTCAAAACATCTTATCATAACCAAAATAATAATAATAATTTTATATTACTTATTATATAAGTATACTAACAAAACATACACATCTATAATTATTTTTATTACACTTAATTTTTCATTTAATTAAAATTTAATTATTATTTTAATTTTTATTCATACAATCAGTTGTCGTTATTTTGATTTATTTCTTGTTTTTTCTTAACTCTTGTTCTTGATTTTTTTTTTTAAAAAACAATCAATGAAACTCGTGATATGTTGTTTATGCTTTGGTATCTTTAGTTCTGATGGGCTTTAAACTTTGTTTGATAATATTTCTAAACATATACATTAAGTTTTTGTTTCTTCTTCAGATTGTTTACACGTGAAATCTATTCATAAATAAATACTCTCATACTTACGAAGTTTTCACTATCAACGTCAGAATTCTTCCTTTTTAAATTTAGTTAACGATCATTTTAACTTAAATATCTTTAAGGTGTTTGAAAAAATATCCGTATTGTTGTAAACCCGATTCATACTCGCACATACGACACAACATAACTAACGAAAACCACGTTCAATTTACATACGATTGACAAGAAATGACAGAAATGCACTCAGTTGATTCCAATTTTCGTTTCGAATGATAGGAAATTGTTAATTCTAAATATGTTCAAAAATATTAAATTTGAAGATTTATCCGTGAAAGCATTATTGATCAATAATAATATTTGTATACATAATATATTTTATTTTATGGTCCAATATAATATAAAGACTATATCTATGACATAGATAATAAAAATACATAATAATAATAATAATTAGTATTTTGTTTATAATAATTAGGCTTGTTATTTTGTTTAACACAAAATTTAACACAATAATTGTGCTTAACCATTTTCGTTTAAAGTTGTAATTTAGAAATTAATTTAAGTACACGAATACATAATAACATGTATAATATACATTGTATATTTTAAATAAATTGATTCCAACAGGCACAACACGGATCAACCAATATTTTTTTGCTCGAATGTTTTGTCGAGTCTTCGTGAATTACTGTATTCAATTATATTGATAAAATATTTTGTGGTGTGAATCGGGCTTTAACCGTAAATTACTTAGGTACAAAACTATAATTGAGTACGATCAATCAACTGCACTTAGTGACAGTTAATAAGCTACTGCCGACTTAAGTGCTATATAAACAAGAAAAAACGGTTAAATATTAATAATACAATTATTAGTTGTAGAATCTAGTGGCGGGTTGATACTAAACAGACACAACAGAAACATTCCGTTTCCCGACAAATTTAAAAAAAAACTGACAAAACAGAAACATTTCACCGACACTATCTTAACTGGCAATAGAATGTTTGTGTTTTTGAAAATATTTTGAAGTCCGCTCGAAAGTGGTAAACATCAATTGATATAACATTGTAACATTAACACTTTAAAATGTTTCTGTTTTATTCTTGTTTTCAGCAACTTTTGTCTGTTAGGTGTATACAGGTATGGTGCGATAATTGGCATTTGGTATTTTGAAATATAGATTAACTATAATTATATATAAAACGTTGTCTTGTATATGTTTTCAATATGTTTCTTTTAATGTAAACGAAAAATTGTTGTTTTGTTGTTGTTTCCAATTTATCGCCGAATTAGAAAAATTAAGAAGTTGCTGTTGTGTTTTGGTTTTCTGTTTTATCGGTCTAGTGTAAACCCGCCATAACACTGTAGATATCTACATATCGAATCGAATCCATTATAACTTGCCATCGGTGTAATTAAGATAAGATAGGTCTATTATATCTTATATAATAAGATATATTGTATATAAAAAAAAAAAAATAAAAAAAATAATCTAACAATATTTTAATAATGCACTCATATCACATATTGACGTATATTATGTATTAAGTCTGCCGTGGACCACAGGTTAAGAACCGCTGTTCTATGTCGTAAATTGATAAATGATAATGAAAAAAAGATAGCATAGGATTTTAAATTTTTACTGTATTATTTCCATTATGTTTTGAAAATAATTTTTTTTACCCAAACATCTTTTATATTATGAATTTAGAAAATAAAAATACTGTCTCAAAGAAAGTATGTTTTTACTGTCAAAATTAAATTATGGAAGATGCATTTTATTATTTTTTAAGAAAAACTATTATATGTTGCAGATGTATTACTTAATAAATAAAATAATTCATGGATACTAGGAAAGGGGAAGCCATATTAAAAAGTATTTGTTTTTAAAACAATGCCCATTAATAATTTCTATTAAAATTTCTAATTGTGTTTGAACTTTGGACGAGAATTAAGGTGTGATTCCTTAGAACGCGTCTAAAGACTGGTGAAAGGGTGATGTGGCACGATTTTAATTTTTGTCGCGCGGCTGATAACGGATTACCTAAAACTATAAAACGCACCGCAATAGATGCGCGGCACACATTTTGATATACCAAGTATTTACTATTCAGGTCAAGTGCAGATCTAGAAATGAAAAAAAGGGGGCCTAGTAAAGTGAGTTACTGCCATAATTTGTTGGGATTTGTGCAAAGTCTTTCTTACGTCTAATTTTTTAAACATTTTAAGTACCTACACATCCGATATGGTTCTACCTCATGTCTAAAGGGGGAGGAGCTTCAGTCCCTATAGTTTCCTGCTCTTGTATCCGCACCTGATTTAGGTCAACACATTGTTGTATGTTCTATTGATCACATGTGTTTGATTAAAATAATTATTATAGTTTTTGTATTTATTATTAATTTTTAAACCAGTGAACAGTGTTGCGTCAGCCGAAAAAAAAATGTTTGATAAATGTTCTATAAGAAGAAATAAAAAAGAAGATATAACAAAAAAAAGTGAACGATATGTATTAAATCAGAAAATAGGAGGATTTTTAGTGTATTGATTGAGAATTATTTATTTTGAGATTTCTTTTATCGTTTGATTTTTATTAGAAGGGTTTCTTAAGTCAAATAAATATAGATGAAACCTTACGAGTTCAGCTAAGGTTCTATCTTCTTTTGTAGTAAATCCATTTTTCATAATGGCCGAAGATATATTAATATTTAATTTATGTAGTAATTTAATATTATTATAATATAATATAATTGAATATTTATTTGTAATAATAATAATAATAATAATAATAATAATAATAATTATGAACACGCGGCCGCGTCTGGCGTCTCTGACGCGTTCTAAGGAATCACACCTTTAGGTGTACAGATTTCTCATACATTATTCATATGGCGCACGTGCACGTACGTGTTACCACGAATTAAAATACTATTATTGTGATATGGACCGTTCAGATTTCAAATTGTTTAATGTCTATATTTTATTTATAAAGGTCAAGATTATGTTTAAATTTAAAATTTATTTAGAACTATTTAAATGAAATAATTTTAGTCTTTATTTCCAGCATGTCTATATGGATTTCTTTTAATTAAATAGCTGTATTTTTAGATTATTATTTGACAAATAAAGCTATTGCACTTTCATTAAGATTATTTTCTTTATAAATTATTTTTTGATGGTAAAATATTACTTATAAATACTCTTAAGTTTTAAAATTTGATCTAACTTAATCTAATATATTTTGGAAAAATAAATCTTCAACTTAATGAAAACAAAAAATATCTTTTTAATCAAATATTTAAAGAAACGTATTCTACGTTAGGTTAGGTTAGCTACGTATCATACGAGTACTATGTGTAATTATTATAAGTTCAATTAACATTGCTTTGAATTATAATTAATTTTATTTCGGAAATTTATTGTTAAAGCATATTTTTAGAAATAAAAATTGATTAATTCAATAAAAAAGCAGAACATTTTTTTTATGAGTTTTTAGTATTTTAGGTTATGAGTTAAGATAACACCGAAAAGTATAAAGTTATGTTGTCCTCATTCCACCTTCTTCACATTTAGCAGATCAGGATTGTTTTTATCTATTTTATGTTTTTTTTTTAGCAGTTATAATTACATCAACATGAAAACAACATACTTATATTTATATATAT